GATAATGCTAGATGAAACTTTCTTTAATAATCGTCTGATCGTTTATTCTCAAAACATTAATAATTCATCATGTTTAAACAAAGGAAACCATGACCGTGACCGTGTTTGGATATCTGACCTTAATTAGCATAGATTTTTACGATTTTATTTCGCCATTTTCTCCTTAGTTTTAATTTTAATTGAGAAGATATATCAAGCACTCAAGACAATGTTTGACCACATTTCCAAACACCTCGAAGTTCGCCAAATATACTCCGCTGGGCGTCGTATATATGTCCAGCTTCCTTCTCGGTGTTTGGAAATGTGGTGAAACATGGTCTTTCGTGTTTGGTCTATTACTTCAGTACATACCTGCAACACAAAACATGATGAGCGAGATGCAGACCAGACTGAAACACTTGTTTGACACTGCGATCATGATGAGCAGCAGTAGGACGATTGCTTGCAAGATATGGACAAAGAACACAGCGAGGAAGTCCACGAGCGAGAACAGTTGACACGGATTAGACCACTGCAAGGGACACAAGAAAGATCAACGGTGGAAGCTACAAAGAGCCCAAAATGTTTGGCACCCTCCTTCCTGTTTTAACTAACTCCAATCACATTTTCTTGTCTCTACCCTCCTTTTAGAACATCTAAATTAAAAAGTGGCGAAAACCAAAATTCGACCAGTATTTCAATTCCTCAAGAAGGAGCTTACCCCAGACGCCTGTTCAATAACACAGAGATATTTCAAACCGGACTGCTACTTTAGTCCCAGAGTTTCTGATACCAACAAATTTGGCCTGGCGCTCAACCAGGGTTCAATTTCACTGTCTACCAAGCTAAACTATATTATTTGTGGTGTAGTTCTTGATTGCACCAAATTCTCCCAATTTACACTTAATATATACATCGTAATAAGCCAGGAAAAGTGACGTTTAAATCCTAGGCTAACAACGCTGACCTCTCTCACAGGCTTAAAGCCATCTTTCTTGATTTTCATTTTGTACTGACACAGCTCGCATTCATATCGACAGGAAAACTGGAACCAGCGCAGTATACAGCTCTTATGGGCGTACTTTGCAGATCCTTTGCAACGACAAACTCGAACCAGGTCTTCATTGTCCTTTGAGTCGAGGCAAATTCGACAGATGTCTTCATCCTTGAATCAATAAAAAATGAGTCAATCAATGTAATTGATCGATCGGTCAGTCCGTCGGTCGGTACGTCTGTAAATATGTCAATTACTCAACTGGCAAGCTAGTGGGCAAGACGGTCACTGATGATTCTTTTTCGTTCTTTCAATCGATCAATCTTTATCA